AGGGAATTTGGATGATTCATTTTAATGTCTATGCAATGTTCCGCATCTATATTTTAATTTTAACAATGGGAAAAATACCTTTTTTTTAGTAGGTGAAAGTCCTCATTATTTTTAGGGATAAGGATAAAAAATTCACTCAGCCATGTAGAAGGAACAAAAATGTCATTTGTTTATTGTTTGGTTTCAAAATGGCCATACTTTTATTAATATGGGTCAAAAATGTCCTTTTTCGAATAAGTATTTTTTGGATTAATTACTTAAAGTGAATTTCTTTTAAAAAATAATTACTTATTTTAATATACTCTTTAATTATTATCATTTGTAGCAATATATAGCAATTTTATATATTTCATGATTTGTCTTTCTCTCTCGCCTCATTCTCCCTTTTCTTTCGTGCCTTTTTTATTTTACTTTTATCTCTCTTTCACGCTCTTTCTCCCTTTTGTTCTTTCTCTTCTTTTTTTCTTTCTTTTCTCCGTTGCTTTTTTTTTCCTCTTGTTTTTCTGTTTCTGTTTCTCTTGCTTTTTTTTGTTTCTCTCTGTTTTCTTTCATAGAGTACTTAATGATTCTTAGACTAAAAGCATTGTATAAAAAGTAATTAATTAGGCAAGTAATCTAATTATAACAAATGAATAAACTTCATAAGTTACAAAATGAATTAAACTTACATTATAAATGAATTTCACAAATATTAAAGTTGAATTAGAATAGAATTAAATATGAATGCAAAATGTAGCAAACGAAAGACATTCTATGATCTCTAAACTGAATGAATTTATATCAACAATGAATTTTATAAGTAATTCAATCATAACAAATCAATCAATAAATTGGAAAATAAATTAAAATTGTATTACACAAGTATTAAACAAATGAATAAATTTAAATTTTCTTTAAAATTGTATTACATGATATTAAAGTCGAATTAGAAGAGAAAATTAAGAATGAATGATAACATAACTAACAAAAGAAAAGACACCAATCTATAAATCGAATTAAACTTGTATTATTCATGAATAAAACATGTATTATATGTGTCTTATAATTATTTTGGGTTTATATCACTAAGAAAGTAAGTGATGTTTGTAATATGTATTAAAAATGTATTCTGTATATATTATAAGTGTGTACCTAAATTATTTTTGTTGATATCATCTAAAGGGAGTGAAATTGCAATATGTATTATAAATGTAGGATGTATTGGCCATGATTTTAATATAATTTTAATATAATTATAAAGCATATCTAATACAACTTTAATACAAACCCAATATAGTTTCACGCAGCATTTCTCCTTAAATCAATTCTAAACTTAGCCAAACCTTTTTAAAATTGAGATATAAACTCCAAAAGATATTTTCAATTATTTGTAGGAACAAGCTATCCAAACTAATTGCAAAGTAAATAGCAAACAAGTAAACTAATCATAACAAATGAAGAAACATAATAAACTGTTAATTGAGTTAAACTTGATTTTAAAATGTATTATACACATATTAAAGTTGAATAAGAAGCGAATCAAACATGAATGCAAATTGTAGCAAACTAAAGAGTATTATATGATTTGTAAACAAAATAAAACTTATATCAATAATGAAATAATCAAGTAATTCAATCGTAGCAAATAAACCAATAAACTCCAAAATGAATTAACTTGTATTAAAATTGAATTAAACAAATATCAAAGTTGAATTAGAAGAGAGAATTAAACATGAATAAAATTTAACTAATGAAAGACTAGCCAATGATCTACAGAG